TCAAAACTAAAGGACCTTAAAATGCCAGGCAGTTGTGGCACTCACCTTTAATCCCAGCACTTGGGAGGCAGAGGCAGGCGGATCTCTGTGAGTTTGAGGCCAGCCTGGACTAGAGTGAGTTCTAGGAAAGGCATAAAGCTACACAGAGAAACCCTGTCTCTAAAAACCAAAAAAGGACCTTAAAAATGACAGGTGAGGGGCTGGAGAAATGGCTCAGTGGTTAAGAGCACTGACTGCTCTTCCAGAGGACCTGGGTTCAAGTCCCAGCACCCACATGGCAGCTCACAACTGTCTGCCACTCAAGATCTGGCACCCTTACACAGTCATACATGCAGCACAACACCAATGCAAATAAAAATTTAAAAAATTTTAAAAAATGGCAGTTGATGCAGAAATCACTGCCCTGGGAAAATCTGTGACACATTTAGAGGAATCGCTCTCCTCTCTAGCTGAAATAGTTCTCCAGGATAGAAGGAGCCTTGAGCTAAAATTTGTTCAAATGGTTCCCCTAGCCATCATTCCTTCAACAAGGGGGCCTATGCAAGGCCTTAGGAGAGCAATGCTGTTTTTATGTTGACTGCTCAGGGAATCATTAGAAACTCCATGACACTTCTGGAAAGGCAGATGACACAGAAAGACAGTAGCAACAGGGAGACCACTGTGGTGTCTGCCCTAGCTAACCCCTTGATGATGTTGCTTTGTTTACAGGGATAGCCTAGGACCACCTGCATGTATTGAGATTCATAACAAAGACAAAACTACAAAAATGTCTATCCTTATCTAAGGTCTATTCAGGCTAACAAAGACCAATTTATGCCTAACCACCAGGTGGTGGTGGCACACGCCTTTAATCCTAGCACTCTGGAGGCAGGGCCAGGTGGATCTCTGTGAAATCAAGGCCAGCCTGGTCTACAGAGCAAGATCCAGGACAGGCACCAAAACTACACTGAAAAACTCTGTCTTGGGGGAAAAAAAGTTTATAAAAAATTTATGCCTTACCTTCTTGCTTTTACTTACATTTTGATAAGCTTTAAAGTGGCTGATGAGGGCGGTGGTGGTGCACGCCTTTAATCCCAGAATCCCAGCACTCGGGAGGCAGAGCCAGGCAGATCTCTGTGAG